AAAAGTCTAAGTTCTATAATACACTATACCAACTCCTGAAAAGTGCTGTACATGTTGGCTGAAACAACACTGAGATACTGAATAAATCTCTAGTAGCGGAGAGAAATAAGAACAAAAAAACAGGCAAAAACATTTGCCTGTCAGCTGTGTGCTCTGATAGACTGCTCTATAACTTGGACAGCATCCTTAAGGATATTTAAACAGATGGTAACATGAGTTGATTTTCTTTAGACTCATCAAAAATAATGCAATAAACTCATTGTCTATTTGTTAGGACAGTGCTAGCTGTATATAACACAAAAGTATGATGACTCAAACACAACATTTGTTAATTTCTTGCTTGCAAGTCAAAAATTGGAGGTATTGTGATAGGAAAAAAGCTTCTGTTTATTTAAATCAACCTTAAAACTCAGATGAGAATACACAATTTCCAGTCTCTAGGGGCTTCACGTTGTCATCCTATTTTTGTCCTGTGAAGAGGTTGTATCTTGAGCAAAATGCCTGCGAAGGCATGAGATAGACAGTCCCATCACTGTGTTATTTTATTTTTAGTAGGGCCACAATATTCTGACATACAGACCTCAGAAAAAGCAGTTGATCTCACAAGGGTTTAAAATTCACTCTGGATCAGAGCAAGTAATGAAAACATTTAAAAATTGGTCCAACATGGACTCTGAGCACTATATAGTTGTCAAATAACTATAAAAGAGGCTATTTTTCTGAACCAATTTATAACAGCTTATGTGAACTCTGCATTCTATTCATACCTGGGGGACAGAGCAACAAGCCTTCAGATCCTCTGCCTAAGTAAGGGCATCTGGGATCTGACGATGGTTTCTCATGTAGTATAGCAACTAATCCTGTCAACGAGGCTCAATTGTAACCATTCTGCAGTTCCTTTAAGCTAAAAGTCTCTACCAGTCCCTAGGTTTTGAGGGATTTAAACAGGAACACTGCTGAATCTGGGAGATTCTAACTCAGGGAATAGGTTTCCACTCCCTGCAAGAAACTCTGCAGAGCTCAGCATCTTGATAAGAAAAGAAAATGAGCTTATTCTATGTAGCAAAAGTTTATAGAGTTGGGTCAAGATTAACTTACCTCACAAGTAGAATACAGAAAAATAGACTCCCACATAGACACACCTTACCTGGCAGATGAAAATTGGAACTATGGAGAGCCAAGCCCAGGAATGATCCATTCCAATAAAATTTCTAATCCCTTTTCTCTTCCTTTCTGAAGAGATTTCTCTCAGATCACAAAGCCTGATAAAATAATGTACCAACATTCACATCCCCAAGCTATGGTGTGCTGTCCTGCAGTAGACAAGATCAGTGCTCCTCACAGACCATCTCAGATTTCTAGTACACAATATCTAGGTACCTTCACCCCAGATTAGGGGTGCTTTCAACAGGGAGGCCCTGCATACACTCTTTGGAGGAGGAGGACTGCCCTAGGGCCACTGGAGCCAGAAGTGCTTCCGAGTCTACACTAACCTGAGTCAGACTTTAATCAGGGCCTAACACTTTCAGGAATATGAAGACCCAGTGCCCTTGCCTTGGTTTATGGGGCTACTGAAAACCAGCATTTCACAGAAGGATCAAGGTAAAGCTGCCCTCATGGAAATTTGACTAAGACCTCACTCATCTTTAGCTTCTTTCTCTTTCTGTTCTAGGATCCCTCCTTTTCTCATTTCCCCTGAACATTTGTGTATGAGTCACTTGCACAAAAGACTTCATCTTACAATCTAACTGGTGAACCTTACCCAAGCTGCTGGATGCAAGAGGCAACTTTTACCATAAGTGAAAAGCTAACATTCATGAATTCAAAAAAGACTGAGACACAAGCAGCTCTGAAGAGTCACCAGTGGTTAAACCTATCTTAACCTTTGGTAATATATTACTTACATATTATTTATAATTTGTTCTGTAAAAAGAAAAGCTAAGCAATACGTGTTTTTTTAAAATCAAAGAATCATACTCATTTGGCCTAGATTCCTTTATCTTATATCTCTCCTGTAAATTATCCAGTAAATAAGAAACCTTCCACTTGAAGGTAAAACCAAGATAAATGTGTCTCCTTTAGTTCCTAATAAATGGAGCTGAAACGCTTTACCAGATAAATATAAGATCCAATAAGGCCTTCAGGAAGTATACTTAATTAGCTAGGCTAACAGAGGGAAGGAAGGCCATATATAATCCAAACCATTAGATCATCCAAAAATAACTTATATTTGCTTTATTTAAGCAGGTTCCTCTTTCTATTTGCCTTTCCTTTAGGCAAATATTCAGGTGTGATTTCCTTTCCTGAGTACATATCAGGTCAGAAACACACTCAGTAGTAAAGGTTTAATAATACAGGTTGCATACCAAGTACATGAAGTAGATTTGTTTCATGTAGATTATCAGCAATTGAATCTAAGTAACAACAAAAATGATGACATTTCTCATCAGACTTGACTGATCAGACATATTTCACAACTCCAAGAACAGAGAAATGACATAATAACTCTTAATATCCACCAAATCTCCTTCCATTCAAGAATTGCTAAGAAAAAGAACACAAATTTCCAGAAAGGAGTTCATTTTTACTCCATACAAAACAAAATTTAAAGATAATATTAAACCACAAATGGAAAATCTGCATGACGTATTACATAGGTATAAAATTGTTAGTAATTTTTAAAAGGTTAATGAGAAAATATTTTGCAATTTAATTGTGGTCAAGTTATTTTATTTAATCTGGCATTTTGGCCCACAAGAGAGCATTAAAGTTGAAGTTAGATTCTCTATACTGGATTTTGTGTAAAGACTGTCATTTTTTAACCCAATTACAAGAATGGAAAACTGTTTCAGAAACTGATTTGAGATGTAGTTAATTAGTAATAAGAGTTTTGGAAAAGTGTAGGCCACCGGAAGAAAAGAGTTAACTGGGTCTTGTTAATTTTGACAAATTTAAACATCAAGATATTACCACATTTCATAGTTAGGAAAAAAGACAAACTTTTGAAAAGCGAAAAAATTTCTGAAAAAAAAAAGATTCAAGGGGAAATTTTAAGAGAATTGTTGAGTCACTTTCTAATACAAAATAACAAAATAATCGTTTGTGTTTTATCTTATAATCTTTAATAGGGCATGCTAGTGAATACTAAAGAAGAGAACACATTTGCAATTAATAAATAGAGCATCATTTTATAAGACTTACATCTTCTTGGAAAGTCTAACACCATGGACCATGGCAAAAAGACACCATCCTTGACGAGGACACAATCAATTAAGTAGAAACACAGTATCGGCCGTAGATATTTTTCAGTTTATCTTCTGTTACTCCAGGATCCCCTACCTCAGAGTGAGAATCACTGCCTTAATGCTCCACTACTATGAAGAAGGTTTTAGCACATTTCATTGATATAGTACATGAATTAAAAAATTAATAAACAGAAAAATCAATATATTTAAAATTGTTCTCCCTTGATACTGGAGTTATATAAAAAGCCATTTAATTCAAAGTCAACTCATGCACACCTACTATGTTGCAGGCATTCTTTAAAGTGTTTGAATGTAAATGCTAAACAAGAGAGAAAAGATTCCTGCTCTTACAAAAGGTGTACAGTCCACTATACTAACTATATTTTACTTATCAAATTGATATATACTGCTTCTACATGCAAGAATTCATCTGTAAAAATAACATTTCCTTTTAACCTCATAATGACTACATTAGATAGATATATACCTTCCCATTTTACAGGTAAGGGTCCTGAGTCGTAGTTAATAAGTATCATAGCCGGATGGAAACATAAGTGACTCTTCTGATTTTTACATTAACCACTATGCTATGTTTTTCTGAGAGGAAGAAGAAGCCACAAATTAAGTTAATAACATATATGCTATTTATCTAAGGCACAAAGGAAAAAGAACATTCTCTCTGTTGCAGCAAAGAGTCAATCACAGAAGCAGACAGGAGATATATATCTTTTTTCCTTGTCTGAGGCTGGATGTTGAAGCCCATATGACAGGTAGGCAGGAAGAGGAGATAACAGAAGTTTTGAATCCCACAAGGACAGAGAGAAATGTGTCCATTCTTATTGCCTCTGACCTTGGTAAAATCCAGGACCCTGCTACACAGAGATAAAAATACATCTCCCTGGCCCTATCTCACACCAAAGAGGCAAGTCAATAGATAAGCAGCAACAATGTGTGTTTGCTGCAAAATCACTGCAGCGTCCCTTCCACCCCAGCTCTGAAGAGAAAGAGAGCACTCCTTAACCAGAAATAGGTTAGAAAGGCAATTCTAGGAAATACAGCCAAGTTGTTCAACTTAGCCAGGTTGTTACAACACAAAGCCATTGTGTGTGCTCTGAAAGGGAATAAATAGGGAGGCAGGGTTCTGCAAAGACAATGAAAATTCTCTAACCTTGCAGAATCTGGAATAATTGGGAAGGCAAATATTGAAGCAATAATAGCAAGTGTGATGAATGCCAGAAGAGGACTCTTAAAGGTCTGCTGGAAAAACATGCAACTAGCAGTAGGAGGTCAACAAAGGACTCATTGTCAGTTTAAAAACCTGACAAAAGGCTTGAATAGACATTTCTCCAAAAAGGAAACACAAGTGGCCGATAAGTCTAAAGTAAGTCCTTTTAAACTAAAACTCAAGAAATAATTAGGAACTCATTGTTGGAGGTAGAGGTTGGAGGGAGAAACATGAAGATCTTTTCTAGATATAAGAGATGTGCAAAAGTCAAAGAGAAGAACAAGGCTGGAAGTATAGACTTGAAAAGCAGGTAGGAATCAATAATTATACAAATGCATATTATTCTCTATGTATACAAGTACATATTATTACAGTGCCTCTTCACTATGATACCTTTGAAAGTAGTAATTCAGTCACTATCTCTGTATCACCAGATATTTATTATGACATATAATAGGTATTAATGAACTGTTAAATAAATGAACAAACTAATGAATTAGTCAATCAATTGTTCTTGCCATAAAACTTACCATATATGTGCTGCACATTCCAAGATAACTTTGTCAGTTTGAAATATCAGTGCGCTTTCTTTTGAATATAATTTGATCCAAGAGGCTTCTATCATGGGCCTTTAAAAATTTAAAAATTATCATGAGAAAATATTTGCAAATCATATATTTGATGAAAGATTTTTATCCAGAATATATAAAGAAGTCCTACATCTCAATAACAACAGCAACAAAAACCATGTGATTTTAAAAACTGACAACAAGGGCTGGGGATTTACCTCAGTGGTTCCACCACCTGCCTCAAAAGTTCAAGGACCCAAGTTCGATCCCCCGTACCAAAAAAAAAATTAATATCACAGAGATAAATTTAAACAGCACCTACTAGGTTGGCTATTTTTTTTAAAGTAACAAGTATCTGTAAGGATGTAAAGAAAAATGAAACCTTTGTGCACTGTTGATGGAAATATAAAATGGTGCAGTGCTAAAATATTAAGGTAGTTCCTCAGAAAATTAAACATAGAATTACCATATGATCCAGCAATACCACGTCTGTGTATGTGCCCAAAGAATTGAAAACAGCTTCTCAGATAGATAGCTGTGCACCATGTTCATAGCAGTATTATTCACAATAGCGGAAAAATGGAAGCTACCAGCTCAAATATTCAACAGCAGATGAGAGGGTTAACAAAATGTGAGAGCTCTATCTATCTATCTATCTACCTATCTATATATCTCTATCTCTCTCTATATATATGTGTGTGTTCATGAATATTACTCTAACTTTTAAGAAGGAAAATTCTAACATGCTACAAGAGAAATGAAATTTAAAGACATAATGCTAAGTGAAATAAGGGATTACAAAAGGACAAATATTGCATAATTCCACTTACATGAGGTAACCAAAGTAGGCAAATTCTTAAAGCTTAGAAGAGGGACAGTGGAAGTTATAGAACAGGTACAGAATTTCAGTTTGGAATAGTGAAAAAGTGCTGGAGATGTATGCTGGTGGTGTTTGCATGGTAATGCAAATATATATAATGACACAAACTGTTCACTTATTTTACCACCAAAAATCAAGATGTGTATCCTTGAGGATATTTGCTTCAAAAACAAATAAAAAATCATTAGTATGCATTGTTTCCTCCAACAATATCTTTCATATGCAGAGGAAAAATAGCTGTTAGTTTTCATCTAAGTTAAGCTGTCATTCAGGAGAGATGAAATGAGCACAAAGAGAAATGTCAAAAAAGCACGCTAACTGGAATTAAGAAGAAAAGACTTCATTCAGAACTATTAGAATATGAAAGACTAAAGTCAACACTGATGAAACAAAAGGCAGGAGGATTTTTTTAAGTGCTGGAAGAAGCTAGTGGAAAAGTACTGGAAAACTGGACAACATTGGTGGGAGTCTGATCAGTTTTATTACACCATCCATATTTGTTAAATGTTGCTTATTGTCATTAGACTCTTACCTTTCCAAAGAAAACTGGAAGATGGAAGCACTGTCTTTCTTTATGATTTTATTTTAGAGCGATGGCTTCTGAGTCCTTGAGAAGGACATTCCTGAGCTATAAAACTGGCAAGAGACTGGGAAAAGATTTACCTCTCAGAGGGCCAGAAAAAGAATTTCCAATTGCTACTTTTCTAAAGGATGTGCTCTAAGAAAATGAAAGTCAGGGATCTAGAATTGACAAGTGGTTTGTCTACTGTTTAAAGTTTACTTAAACTAAGGGAAAACTTAAGATCATGTTAGTCACAGTAAAAAAAAAAGTTTTTAACCATTCACTCTCAGAAAAAGCTATCAAGAATTATTTTAGCAAGAATCCAACTGAATTATGAAGGAAGAAGTGAAATGTATAATAATAACATGCAAGAAATTGAATCGTGGTTATTAAAGTGCAAGTGTTCTAAGATCATTGGTAGGATATAGAGATATTAATATATTTTAAAATTCAATATTGAACTACAAAAATGCAAGAAGGAAAATAAATGTTTTCAAATCTGTGAAGGACAAAGGGGACTAAGTAAAGCTCAAATATTTAGATGCCTGTAACCAGAGTGCAGAGAGAAACCAAATGGATGACCAAAAGCCTCAGAGAAAGGCCTCCTCCCCTTAGTAAAAGGACGAGGGACAGGAATCCAGCAAAACAGGAATCTTGTAAGGATAACTACCCAGTACAAAGGCACACTGAAAGGGAAAAACTATTTCTCCCACTCTTATTCTGTCAGGAAAGGCCTACCTGGAGCATAGCCTCTCACCCACGCGCAGCTGTAAGGAGGCTACTCATGCCTCACCCAAAGTGATACCAAAAAGAAAGAAGTAGAGATCTGAGGCTTTCATCTGAGCACCGGAAGTGTGTCTGAGCACTCACAGACACATACATACGCAGGGGCAGCAGGGACCACATGGAGAGTCTGCATTTCAGCCTGCACTCTGCACTGGGGTGTCCCTCCTGCTACCCATCCCCACCTCGTAGTCTTAGAGGAGATAGAATGGAAAGACCTGTCTGCAGTAATGAGACCACCGCCTGGTTCAACCCATGCTACCAGCAGCAATAACAAAGTGCCCCTGCCCTCCCAGCCAGAGCATGTTACTGGACACCTGATGAGGAAGCTGAACTTCTACCCCCCTCAATAAATGAACCAATGTATCCATATTGTGGAACACTGCCCAGCAATAGAAGAAACAAACTACTGATAAAAGGATCAAGCTGGATGAATCTCAGGGCAGTATGCTCAATGAAAAAGCCAATCTCAATAGAATACATACTAGGCAACTCAAGATAAATAAAAAATAAATAAATAAAGTTGGATATGTAGCTCAATGGTAGAGTGCTCCTGGGTGCAGCCCCCATACTACCTTTAAAAAGTCAAGTACTATATAATTCCACTTATGTATCCTTTTGTAAATGATACAGAGCAGCTTTTTGTTGTCAGGGGTTGGACATGCTGAGGGAATTATATAGTACTACATAGGGAGTTAGATAGTTATATTGTACTGCCCCTAAACTGAGGCAGTACAGGAGAGATTTTAGTTCTGAGCCTTTGATTATAGTGGTGGTTTTACACATCTACATATGTGATAAAATGGCCCAAAAGTATATATATATATATACATAGATACATTGCATCACTGTCAATTTCCTGGCTTTGATGTGCTACAACTGTATAAGATATAAACATTGGAGAAAACTGGAAAAGAGGTACATGGCACCTCTGTGTAATACTTTTGCAACTTCTTATTAATCAATAATTACTCCAAAACCAAAAACTGATTCCAATGATAGGCAGGAAATGTGAGAAAAAGAAACAAAAAAAGGACAATAAAAGAAAATGCAAGTAAGGTGCTTGGAATACATAATCATAATAAATAAAATGAATTAATTCCCCTATTAAAAGATTTTCCTATCAAATTCAACAAGATTAAAGTTGAACTGTTACACTTCATACACCTAAAATATAAACATGCAGAAGATTTGAAATTAAAAAAGTAAAATATTAGCATAAGCAAGGTACCACTTAAAGGCCAAAAAAAGTATTATTAACTTAAAAAAGAATATTTGCCTAATCATAAAAAGAAATTCACTATGGATACTTAATAATATGTATGTATTCTAACAACACAGTTTCAGAATTATATCAAAATTTATAGGTATACAAGAAGAAATTAGCAAAACAATCACAATGGTAAATGATTTAAAACACCTTTCTCTTTGAAATTCATGGAAATTTTAAAAATCTCTCTCAAAAGATAATAAAGCACACACATAAAAAATTGTTCTCAGTATTTAAGATATTTAATCAACATAATAAACCACAGACATAAGCTGAAGACACATCAACAGCGTAACTCCAATCTTCATTTGTAAATAGGCAAATGAACATCCCAAACCAAATAAGAAGTTCCACTTCTGCCAATGATGCAGAACACTGGAAAGAACATTGTTCCTAAGACATAGAAACTAAATATAGATTAATGGCAGCTGGGGCAGTACTAGTGCAAAGGTAGGTTAAAGATTAACAGTAAATGTACGTGATGAATCGTACTGGAATGATGAAAAGGTTCTAAAATGGATTTATGGTGATGTCTGCACAACTCTGTGAGTTTATCTGAAATAATTAAATTTTATACTTGTAAATTATAAGATATACAAAATATGCCTTAATAAAATTAATTTTTTTTTTGGTATGGAGGATCGAACTCAGGACCTTGTGCTGGCAAGGCAGGCGCAGTGCCACTGAGCTAAATCTCCGGCCCAATAAAATTAATTTTAAGAGTGTTGCTCTCACTGTGAAAATGAGAAAAATCAAACTGAACTATAGAGACATGCTTTACTTGAACACTTTAGAGAGCTGATATTGCCAGGAAACTAAGTAGCCAGTGGTAGAAAGAAAGAAGTAATAGTAACAAAGTATCAACCAACCCAACTCCTACTTTGGAAGGAAAAAGTAGCTTCAAAAAAGTATACACTGATTACCATACAAAATGTCAAGCCTTGAAATATTTCCTTCAGAGATCAGGAATGAAATCTGAGGATATAGCCTTCAAGGAGACAAAAATTGGTTCTTAGAAGTAGAAAAAAATTACATTTTATCTGTATAGCACTTATACATTGTATATATGCAATACAGTAATAGACATAGAAACATCTGTAGTTTTTAAAATTTCATGGAAAGGGAGGAAAATTTTTCCTTAAAAAGCGATATCTAAAATGGCTTCTCGAGAGGTGATGATGAAAACATGGCTGGAGGACACTGGACAAGGTGATAAACTAGAGCTGGGTGGAGACAAGGATCTGGAGGTTAGGACATTATGGGTTAGCCCGGAGGCTATTTTTCATGGTGACTGAGACAAGGAGCAGGGGAGGCAGAAGGCCACCTAACAGTTGCTTAGAGTCAGACAGGTCCCGAGCATTTCAATGGAAGCTTTAGAATCTTCTCAGAGAGCAGTTTCTCTAGTAGCTTACTGAGAGGTGCGTGATACTACAAGGGTAGAGCTAACTCACAGGGGCAGCAGGTGACAAGAGGGTCTTCTGACGGCATTTCCAGCATGAAGTTACTTTGACCTACACAACAATCATTAGTGCTCTGAGCAACTATTGGATTCAA